TGACCCCTGGAGTCTCTTTGTCCCCTATGGCCTCTCCATCTCTTGTCCTCTCATCCTCTTCTTCCTCACCCAGCCCAGCTCCCCAGATCACAACCCTTAGGTGTCCTCCCCTTATTCCATATTTTTCTGTCCTCAGGATGTTCTACCAAGAGAACAGATGAAAAAACTAAGAAAATTGGTGAGTATGGCATCAGCCTTGCCCCATACCAGTTCCCTGTGTGTGTATGTGTGTGTTGGGGGGGTGAGCTGAGGGTGATCCTTGAAGAGTAGGAGAGTAGGGGGAGGGCAGGAACTGAGTGTCCAGGATGACTTTCCTCTCACCCTAGCCAGCACTCAATGCTGAGCGTCCAAGAACACTGTCTTGGACTGTGTTCATCAGACAAATGAACAGCGGTCATCCCTACCAATTGTCAGATCCCTGAGTGTATCTCCCCTTCCTGAGCACCCTGGGGAGGGCAGTGGACATGGGGAAGGTTCTGTGCCCTGCACCTTAAGTCATTCCCTGTCATTGGATATGATTCAGTATCACTGTCACCTTTCTCTGTTCTGACATTGGGTCCTTGCACTATCACCCTCCCTTGTCCCAGGTTATGACACTGGGGTCCCTGAACCGTCTTTTCTGCCTTAAGTGACCTTCCCTCAGTTTGCCCAATTCCTTTTCTCCTATGTCCTGAGCCCCAGCTGCTTTTTCTAAATTCACTCCCATAGTCTGCCCGCCCCCTTTCTCCTAGGTCAGCTTCTTCTGAAGAGCAAAGGTCTGGTGGCGTGGGAGTTGGGAGGATGCTCTAGATTGCATCCTTCAGCCTCCATCCTCCATTTTCCCCATGGATTGCTCTTTGTCCCCTCCCTTCCCATGGGGTGGGAATTCCAAAGGACATTTATTCCCCACTCTGTGCTGTCCCCTTGTCCCCATGAAGGCCCCTGAGCATCACCTCTTCTCCCCCCAGACCTGCCCTACTGGGCCATCATTTTCATGTGCCTGGCTATGCTCCTGGGGCTCATCCTTTGCCTTCTGTCCTGCTTCGTGGTAAGAGAACTTGGGCAACCCCTAAGAGCCACTAAGGGCTCTGTGTGTGTGTGTGTGTGTGTGTGTGTATGTGAGAAAGAGAGAGAGAGAGAGAGAGAGAGAGAGAGAGAGAGAGAAGAAGGCTCGGGATCTGTGTGTGTATGAGACAGGAGTGTAAAGATGTGTAGTATATTTGTGCGTGTGTCTGTGTATGAGAGAGAAAGAGGGAGAGAGTGAGAGAGAGAGAGAGGAAGCCATGGGATCTGTGTGTGTATGAGACAGGAGTGTAAAGATGCGTAGTATATTTGTGAGTGTGTGTGTGAGAGAAAGAGAGAGAGACAGAGAGAAGGAGAGAGAGAGGAAGGCATGGGATCTGTGTGTGTATGAGACAGGAGTGTATAGATGTACAATATACTTGTGTGTGTGTGTGTGTTTGTGTGAGAGAGAGACAGACAGACAGAGAGACAGAGAAAGAGAGAATGAGCATCCCCATGAGGGGAAGTCTTTCTGGTGGCACAGTGGAATGATGACTACAATCCCTGTATTTGGAGCCAGAAGACCTGGGTTCAAATCCTGTCCTATACTTGACTGTCATCAAGTCACTAGGCTTCACTTTCCTCCTCTAGAGAATGAGGAGATTGGAATAGCAGGCCTCCAGTACCCCTCCCAGCTCTAACTTTGGGATCTCATGATCCAGTAGGCTTATCCAAGAATGAGTAAGTGTGTGTCTCTGAGAATGCAGGTGTGCTTATGGCTGCATATATGCATCTACGAGAGAGGATGCATATCAATGAGTCAATGTGAATGAGAGTGTGAATTTAGGAAGTGCAAGACACTAGTGTGTGCGTCTATTCATATGTAAAAGAGGGTATGTGTGTCTGAGTAAGAATTTGAGAGAGAAGAGGTTTCTGTGTATCAGAGAGAGACAGAGAAAGAGAGTGAGAAAATGCACAGTGCCTGGCACACAGTAGGTGCTTAGCAAATGCTTATTGAATAGAATTGAAAATGGAGGGACAGAGCTGGAGAGATAATCTGAGGCAGACATAGACAGAAAGAGGGAGACCAAGATAGTTGGAAAGAGACAAAGTTTGAAACAGACAGAGATGAAGAAAGGACAAAGATGAAGAGACAGACAGAAACTGAGGCAGAAACAGGGAGAGATAGACAGACAGACAGAAAGAAAGAAAGAATAAATTTATTTAGGAGAAAGTTCCAGGTAGCCTTCCTTCAGACTCTCCCTGTTACTTTCTCAATCAATGGAGAGTTCTCTCAACGAGGCTCATGAATACTCTACCTGGGTGCCTTCTCCCTAAGCCTGGCCTTAGGTTTTGGGGTAGGGGCCAGGCAGAAATGTACAAGGCCAGCAAGGAAGACCAGTTCCAATAACCTTGGTTCCTGGCGATGCTCCTGGGATTCACCAGGGCTGCCTTCATGCCCTCTCTAGGGAGCAAGGCTGGGTCCACAGCTACACACAAGAGGCTCTCAGCAAGGGTCATGCCCCCATAACTCATGACTGTCCTCGATCCCTCAACCTTGATGGTGGGTTTCTTCCACCATCAATCATCAGTTTTCCCTTCAGTGTCTCCTAACCAGTGCCAGTTAATACTTCCTTAATATCATTGATACCACTAATTAACACCCTCAGTATCAATTTGGCCAATTAACATCAAATAGCTTTTACCAAAAAATGTTTACCCAGAAGAATTAGCTAGATTAGAAGTATAAAAACTTGCCCCCAACTGGGGGACACACTCTCCCATATACTGCCTCAGTCCTTGGGAAGAAGTGGGTTCCGAATGAAAGCTGGAAAATGCGCTGGATTTGCAGTCACAGGACGTGGGTTCAAATCTAGGCTTGACCATTTACTACCAGGTCACCTCGCTTGGTCTCAGTTTCCTCATTTGTAAAATGAAGGGTTTGGACTAGATGACTTTTAGGGTCTCCTTTCAGCTCTAAATCTATGATCCCTGTGACCACCTCCCTTTGAGGATATTTGCGGAGATGGCTGAAGGGAGATATCTCCTTGGGTGTTAACCTTTTTCCATCCAGGTCTGCTGTGTTCAATTAACTGTGGCCACAGTATGTTGAATATCTGGGTTCCATGACTATGGGGGGTGTTGACTTGTAGAGACAAGATTCCAGCTATAGGGTAGAGGCTCTGGAGCTATATATTTAATATTTGTGATGTTTTGAGTAGTTTTCTGTATCATCCTCTGCCTAAATTCTGAACCTTGTTACCATGCTTGAAGCTATGGGCCATGGAATTGGGGGAATAAAGTAGTCAGTTGTAGGCTGAGCATCCTCTTGTGGTCAAAGGAGATTTGCTGTTCTATGTCTGACTCTTTGTGACCCCATTTGGGGTTTTCTTGGCAAAGATACTGGAATGGTTTGCCATTCCTTCCCTAGAGTTAAGTGACTTGTCTAGGGTCACACAGCTAGTAAGCACCTGATTTGGATTTGAACTCAGGGCTTCCTGACTATAGGCCTGGTGCTCTATCCATTGTACCACCTGTCCCCCAGAGGGGATACTATGGCACTTTGGGATACTATCCCACTCATGTAACAGAAAAGGTATGTGGTGATTTACTTCACTGGCGGCTTAAGGAGAGTGCCACCTGCTAGACAGCTTGGATAGTTTGCTGGATAATTAATACAGTGACATGCTTCCATCATGTAGCTTAAGGAAGGCAGCCCAGAAGCCAGTTTGTATTGCCTACACTGTAGTGGTGTTGTAGTGTGTCGGGTGTCACATGAGGGACACATAACATATCATGAGAAAAGCACCTTTGTAAACAGTGAGTCACCAAAAACATGAAATATTTTTATTTGCGGAGGCCTGCATAATACTGCTATATGGGTTGATCACTTAACAGTTCCAGGTGACTTAATTCAGAGCCACCAGTGTCTAGAAAACTCCAGAGTGAAGATACAAACAATTTCTAACTCTGGGCCAAGTGCTGACCACTCTAGGGCTTCCTTTTCCTCTCTGCCATCCCCCCCCCCCCATTAGAATGGGAGCTTCTTGAGGGCAGGCCTGTGGCTTTGCTTTTCTTTGTATCCCCAGCCAATAAGAGCTTAACAAGTGTTGATTGAGTAGATGACCTCCCAGGTCTGGTTTGACTCAGAGGTTGGCTCACACTATGACTTCCAGTCCCATATGTTCCAGATTCACAGCTGGGAAAAGTCACTAAGTCCATGAGGTTGCTCTATAAAGGACAGATCTGCCATTCCGAGAGCCGGGGGGAAGCCACCAACATCAAATTCACATGTGTTTACAGAAGATTATTCCACACACAATTAATGAAGGTTTTCTTCCCCCAGTTTTCTTGAAAGCATTAAACAAATAGCAGGAATCTGGTAATCTGGTTAAAGCTTTGTGATGAGTCCATTAGGCCATTCCTGGGCTTGGGAACAAAACTAACAAAACACCAATGTTTGAAGGCTGGCATTTGGTTAACAAATTAGGATCTTTCCTCCCCCCTTTTTTTTATCCTTGATCCAGCAATCTGAAAACAACGATTCTTTTCCCACTGACTAGTCCTCAACCAACTGGTGCTAAGGGAAAAAGGGGATTGCAGTGGGATAATGGAATGAGCTCCAGGTCATGGTAAGAGGTCGGGCCCATAGCCAAGGACCCATGGGTATAGGAGAACTTTCTGGCTGCTGCAGAGGTCCTCTGGCAGGCAAAGCCTCCTTCTCAGCGCCCTGGGAGAATAAGGAATGTGAAATAATCATGTAAAGCAGAAATCTATGCAGTCATTTCATTAATTGCCTGGAAAAACTAATGGGTTTCATATTCATGCTAGCAGAGGGCTGGGACAAAGGCCAGGCTCAGCCCAGGTTTGATGTGCAGGGCCAGCCAGGTGTGGAAGCCACTGAGGACCCTCCGGGGACCCTTGGCACCATGACTTTGGGGGCCTTTCCTAGAGCCTGTAATGTTGAAAATAAAACAAAGCAATAGCTCCAGGGAGAAGATTCCCAAATGAAAACGGGCTCCTTGTTTTATTATTTCATAGGCACGTATATTATTTCATAGGCAGTGAGGTATCATGGAGATTGCTAGAGAGTTGGGCTTGAGTCCGCCCTCCTTGGCACTGAGAGCTTAACTTCTCTGGGTCTCCTGTTTTCCCTCCTCTTCTCTTCTGTACATTTTTTCTTTTTTTGGTCAGTCCTCTTCCCCTGCCCAAGTCTTCCTCTTCTACCACTGGAAAAAGTCAACGAAAAACAAGCCACATCAAACGTTCAAGGTTTGTTGGGAAGGAAGCTTGTGAACTACTAAGTTTCATTATCAAGCACTACAGAAATGTGGTGTCATTCTTATTTTCACTTCACATATGACTCAAGATTAAGAAATATGAGTCCAAGGGCTTGTGGGGAAAACTGACGCCTCAATGTTTTATACCATGAACAAATTCTTTAGGAAGAAAACCCAGGGGCGTTAGATGTGGAGAATCCCCAAATAACATTGCAAAAAATGACACTGTATCTTAACAAAAAGGAAAGTAGTTACCAATATGAGAACATTCCAAATCAGCTATCTGTGTGCAATCAGACTAGCCACTTGTCAGAGCCAAGATCAGAATTAACACCAACCTAGAAGAATAAAAATAAGAAGATAAAATGTGCTCCAGAATAACTCCAACCTGGGTAACTAGGTGGTGCAGTGGATAGAGGAGCCTTGGAGTCAGAAAGACCTGAGTTCAAGTCTGGCCTCAGACACTTGACACTTAATAGCTGTGTGACCCTGAGCAAGTCACTAAATCCCGATTGCCTCACCAAAAAAAAAAAAAACAACAAAAAACTCCAAACCTATTTGAATAAGCATATTGACACTGAAAAATGAGAAGGGAATAGAGGAACCGAAATTGGCATAGATTATCAATGTTTCCTATGGAAGTTTAATTGATTTATGTAAATCAATCACCACTATGAAGAGGCTCAGTGATTTGAGAAACTGCCACAGGAAGTAAACATTTGATCTTACCATCGAGAGGGGGCAGATCGGTGGCACAGTAGATAGGACATTAGCCCTGGAGTCAAGAAGACCTGAGTTCAAATTTGGCCTAAGACACTTACTAGCTGTGTGACCCTGGGCAAGTCACTTAACCCTGTTTGCCTCAGTTTCCTTATCTACAAAATAAGTTGGAGAAGAAAATGGCAAACCACTCCAGTATCTTTGCCAAGAAGGCCCCAAATGGGGTCAGGAAAAGTCAGACACAACTGAAAAAAATGACTGAACAACAACACACCCATTAGGAAAATCCAGGATAAGATAGGATATAAACTCATTTGGAAAATCTTATGGAGGGAGACAGAAGAAGATTATGAATCGTATCACCTAACAAAATAGTGAGAAGAGGTGGAGGGAAAATGAATTTCTAGAAAGCTTAGGAGTGACCCAGTTCAGCTGGACTTCTTTAAGAACACTTGAAAACTAGAAAAGATCTGTCTGTATTACTATAACAGACTGTTCTCTTCATCAGGGATTTGTGGAGTCACCATTTGGACTCTAATGTAGGCCTTGGTGTGCTACATACATAAAGAAGTAGAAAGACCACCACCAGACCTATTCTATACAGAAAACAGAGAAAGAAGAAAATGACCGATAGGTACAAAGATGGTGGGTTTATATTGGCTCTTTTTGTGGTGGTAAAGAAATGGAAACTAAAAAAAAAAATAAATAAAAAATTTTTAAAAATTAAAAAAAAGAAATGGAAACGGAGGGGATGCCCATCAAATAGGGAATAGATGAAAAAGCTATGGCATATGAATGTGATAAAATACTATTTTGCCATGAGAAATAGTGAAAGGGATGGTTTCAGAGAAACCTGGAAGGACTTGTGTAAATGGAGCCAGAGGGAAATAAGCAAAACCAAAAGTGATACAAATAACAACATGGTAAAGAAAGAGAACTTTGAGAGACTTCAGAACGCTGACCAATTCCAGAAGACTGATGGGAAAGTCTGCATCTCCCCAACATAGTCTTGGCAGAGAGGTGATGGATTGGGGGATAGAACGAGGCACACATCTCTAGACACGACCACTCTGCTGACTTAGCCCAATGTGGGAGCGGCAAAGGCAGAATTCGGACAGATCCTGGAGAGCTTTGCACAGGCAGAGTGGACGAGATGAGACCAAGGCTCTGCACTGGCCAGATAGAACAGAGGCAGGGATGGAGAGGGCTGACTTCCAGCTGCTAGGAAACCTCAGCCTGGTGAGACGCAGACAGGCATTTAGGGAGCCCTCTGGTGGGCAGTAGGAGTACTGTAGCACGTGGGGAGACCCAGGCCAGGGTGCTGGACACACCCAAGGGCCCACTTGGCTGGTGGGCCGAATGTGTTGCTGGCTGGTGGGCCGAATGTGTTGCTACCTGGTGGACAAATTGGTCAATTATTGGTAAAGTGGTGTCGGCAGTTCTGTAGCCTTGCGGGCAGTGCCCTGTCACCTGGGACAGCCACCCAGCGCTCACTCACCCAGTGTGTCACACTTACTAACAAACAGCTTATGCTTGCTGCGGTGCTTTCATGGACCGATGGGCTGGGCAAAGGGGGATTCTGGCTGCTCTGGAAGCCCGGGGTGCGAGATGGAGAGAGGGGAGAGGATCCTTTTCAGTGCCTGGTACACAGTGGGTGCGCACCGAAGGCTGGCGGAAACAAGGAAGGACCTGGGGTGGGGCAAAATCCTCCTCCACTACGTCCTCCCCCTCCTTCCTCTTCCTCCTCCTCCTTCCTCTTCCTGCCACTTCCTTCCTCTACATCCTTCCATCCTCTCCTCCTCGCCTGCTACTTCCACCTCCCCTTCCTTCCAAGGGGTTTCCTTTGGACCATCAGTAGGTTGGCTAGCAGGCTATCATGCTTAGAGATGCTGCGGTGACTGGCCTCCTTGGAATATAGTGAGCTCCCCATAGCTGCAAATCTATATGGGCGGGTGACTGAGCGGCTGCTCCTGAAAGTAGCGAGCTTCCGTTACTGCAGTTTGGGATGGGAAGGAGGGCAGGCAGGAGGATGGGGCAGCTGACCCCCTGCCTGGGAAGTTGTGAGCTCCCTGACCCTGCAGCTGCTTCCCCCGGTGAGAGCAAGCAGCGGAGGACGGGCCTGGACGGCTACTCGAAAGGTAGTGAGCTCCCTGTCTCTGCAGCAACCTAGCATGGGAGTCTGGGAAGCTGCTCCAGAAGTAGTGAGTTCGCTGTCGCTGCGGGCTGCGCCTCCGCCTGGGGCTGCAAGGATCCTCTCAACCTGCGCTCTCCAGCCATCTCCTTCTCTTGCTTCGGGGCTAGAGGATCCTCTGCTCGGCGCTCGCTTAGTTAGGGCTGGTCCTCTCTCCTGGCCCCGCCTCCAGCTGATCGATGTGGGCGGATCCGGGCTCTCTGCGCAAGCGCAGTAGCCGCGTGGTCGCCATTGGGCTGTCAGTCTGGCGTGCGACTGGAGGCAGAGGCGGAGGTGAGGATGGGGGCGGCGCGGGGGGGAGGGGAGGCCGGTCTGTGTGTGAGGATCCAGGGTCTCTGAGAGCCGGAGGGGGAATGTCGGGGGGCGGGGGAGCCCAGGGTCTCTGAGAGAGAATGTGTGGGGAGCTCAGGGTTTCTAAGAGAGGGCAGTGTCTATATGTAGCCAGGGTCTCTGGCCTTGGGGGGAGGGTCTGTATGTGGGGGACCCAGGGTCTCTGGCCTGGGGGGAGGATCTGTATGTAGAGGACCCAGGGTCTCTGGCCTGGGGGAGGGTCTGTATGTGGAGGACCCAGGGTCTCTGGCCTGGGGGGAGGGTCTGTATGTAGGGGACCCTGGGGGGAGGGTCTGTATGTAGGGAACCTAGGATCTCTGGCCTGGGGGGAGGTTCTTTATGTAGGGGACCCTGGGGGGAGGGTCTGTATGTAGAAGACCCAGGGTCTCTGGCCTGGGGGAGGCTCAGTGTGGCAGCCCCAGGGTCTCTGGGGGAGGGCAGGGTCTGTGTGAAAGCCCCTGGGTCCCTGTCTGGGGTCCATGGGGATATAACATTTGCAAAAAAGAGTAGGTATGATTGTCCCAGCATAGTTCGCTGTCTGTCAGCTTGTTTCAGGGCTGGCTGGGATCTGTCTGTCTGCCCCAGCCTTCCAGTGATGGTCTAGATGAGTCCATGTGACCTCTGTAGCCCCTGGCCAGTGTTGATGGAGCTCCACTTAGCTCAGAGGGTGGTGGCACCAAATCTTGCAGCGAGGCAGTGACTGAGAGAGTTGGACAGCTCTGGGACGGGCACAACACTCTGCCAGCCTCCCAAGAAAACCTCCCCTTTGGGCAGGCTTGTGTGTATGGAGGAGTCATTGTCTGCTTAAGACTCCAGCTGGCATGGTGGGACTCTTATCTTCGTGGGGCTTCTGCTGGGTAAACTGGAGATAATCACGGGGGCAAGACCCAAAATTAAGGGGGATCAGGAAAAGTGGTATTTTAGCTGAGATTTGAAGGAAGCCAGGAAGCAGAGATGAGAAGGGAGAGCATTCCAGGCATGGGGGATCCCAGAGGAAATGCAGAGGTTTCGGAGATGGAGCATCTTGTGAGAGAAACAGCCAGGAGGCCCATATTGCTGTATGGGAGGGGAGGGGGCAGTGTAAGGTGTAAGAAGACTGGGAAGGATGGGGCAGGTTAGGAAGGGCTTTAAAAGCCAAACAGGGTTTTTTTTATTGACCTCGGAGGTGACAGGGAACCACTGTAGTTTATTGAAGGGGTGTGTATTTGTGTGACATGGTCAGAATTGTGCTTTTAGGAAGATCACTTTGGTACTTGAGTAGAGGATGTACTGGAATGGAGAATATGGCAGGCTATCGCTGCAGTAGTCCAGGTATAAGGCGATGAGGGCCTGTATGGGATGGAGGTGGATGAGGTCAAGTGGAGTGTGGTAGCCTCAGAGGGGAGGAAGGAGTGTATGTTGTTAAGAGACCTTAAAAAGGGAGAATCAGGCCTTGGCAACTGATTGGATATGGGGGGTGAGTGTGGGGAATCTAGGGTGGCTCCTCAGTTGAGAACCTGGGTATCTGGGAAGATGGTGATGCCCTCAACAGTAAAGAAAAGTTAGAAAGAAAGAGGGATTTGGGAGAAAATATGATGAGTTCAGTTTTGGTCATGTTGTGTTTTAAGATGTTTATGGGACCTTTGCAGTTCCAGATATCCAATAGGCAGTCTGGGATGTGTGTCTGTAGTTCAGCCTGGAGGTTAGGTCTGATTAAGTAGATCTGAGAATCATTTGCATAGAGATAATACTTGAATTCTTGGGAACTGATGAGATCACCAAGTAAAATAGTATAGAAGGAGAAGGGAAAAGGGCCCAGGACAAAGCTCTGGGGGATACACCCTGTTAGAAGCTGAATGAAGATCCAGCAAAGGAGACTGAGGACTGGTCAGATAGGTAGGAGGAGAACCTGCAGAGTGGTGCCCTGAAAACCTAGCGAGAAGAGAGTATTAAGGAGAAGAGGGTGATGGACAGTGTCAAATGCTGAAGAGAGGTAAAGAAGGATGAAGACTGAGAATAGGCCATGGGGGGAGGGGCAGAACCACAAGGACATTAGGGGATCAGACAGCTGGAGAATTTGCCGGCACTGGATGCAACTGGCAATGATTGGCAACTCTGTTGCCTATAAGCAGTTCTGGGTTGTAATTCCAGGATGATGAGGAGCCCTTGTGATTGGTGGTCACAAGGTAGCAGGAGCCCTGGTCACAGTTCCAGGGCTAAGAGGAACACTAGTACTTGTGTCTACAGGGGAGCAGGGGCTCTTCCTGGGTAAAGATCAGAGTGCAGACCCAGAGAGCAATGACCATACTTCTCCTTGGATCATACCATTGTGGAAGCACCAAAAACTTGCAGACCTCCCCAGAACTAGCTCTGAAAATAGTAGCACAAAAAAAAACCTAAAGCTTGGCACAGTGCCTTCTCACCCCAAGGTGAGCAGAGCCCATTTTTAATATGAAGTTCAAAGTGAAGAAATAGACTTGGAAAATGAGCAAACAACAAGAAAAGAACTTGACCATAAAAAGCTGCTATGGTGGCAGGGAAGACCAATATAAACCAAGATAAACTCTGAAGAAGACACTGTGAAAACAGTTACAAGCAAAGCTTCAAAGAAAAATGCTAATTGGACTTAAATAAGAATTACTGGAAGAGTTAAAGAGATAAGAGTGGTAGAGGAAAAATTGGGAAAAGAAAAGTATGAAGAGAATCAACAGCTTGGTTAAAGAGGCACAAAAGCTACTGAAGAGAACAACACCTTAAACAAAACTGGTCTAATAGTAAACACAAAATTCACTAAAGAAAAGAACTCCTTTAAAAGCAGAATTGACTAAATGGAAAAAGAGGTACAAAAGCTCATAGAAGGAAATAACTCCTGAAAAATTAGAATTGGTCAAGTGGAAGCTAATGGCTCCATGAAACTTCAAGAAACAGTAAAACAAAATCAAAAGAATGGAAAAAAATAGAAGAAAATGTGAAATGCCTCATTGGAAAACTGATCTGAAAAATAGATCAAAGAGAAAGATAATTTAAGAATTATTGAACTATTTGAAAGTCATGATAAAAAAAAGAGACATAATATTTCAAGAAATTGTCAAAGAAAACTACTCTGATTTCTTAGATCCAGAGGGTAAAATAGAAATTGAAAGAATCCAACGATCACCTCCTGAAAGAGATCCCAAAACAAAAACACCCTGGAATATTATAGCCAAATCCCAGAGCTCTCAGGTCAAGGAGAAAATGTTGCAAGCAGTCAGAAAGAAACAGTTCAAATGTGGAGCCACAGTCAGGTTTAGACAAAATTTAACAGTTTCCACATTAAAGAGCAGAGGGCTTAGAATATGATATTCTGGAAGGCAAAGGACCTAGGATTACAAGCAAGAATAACCCAGCCAGCAAAATGGAGTATAATCCTTAGGGGGGAAATGGATATTTTATGAAATAGAGGACTTCCAAGGATTCCTGCTGAAAATACCAGAGCTGAAAAGAAAATGTGACATTCAAACAGACGATTCAAGAGAAGCGTAAAAAGAAAAATGAAAGAGTAATCGTAAACTGTTTACATTCCTATATGGGAAGATGATACATGGAACTCTTAAGAACCTTATTGTTAGGGCAGTTAGAAGGAGTCTACATAGACTGAGGACATGGTTATTAGTCCATTGTGCTGGGATGATCTCCAAAAAAAAAAAAATGTAGGGGTGAGAAAAAGGGTTACCCTGGGAGAAGGGGGAAGGAAAAAGTAGAATGGGGAAAATTTTCTCTCATAAAAGAGACTTGCAAGGGAGAGCTTTTATAGTGGAGGGAAAATGGGGGGTGGCAAGTAGTGCTTGAACCCCACCCTCATCAGAATTATTTCAAAGAGGGAAGAATATGTATACACACTCAGTTGGGTATAGAAATTTATCTTACCCAATAGGGAAATAAGAGGAGAAGGGGATAAGATGTGGGGGAGGGGGAGAATGGCAAAAGGGAGAGTGGATTAAGGGAGGCAGTCAGAAGCAAAAGAGACTTGAGGAGGGACAGGATAAAAAGATAGAGAAAGATAAACCTAAGAAGATAGGATGAAGAGAAATTGTAACTATGAATGTGAATGAGATGAGCTAATCCACAAAAATGGAAACAGATGACAGAATGGATTAGAAACCAGAATCCTAGGATGTGTTGTATACAGGAGACACACTTGAAACAGAAAGACACCAAAAGAGTTAAAGGGCTGGAGCAGAATCTAATATGCTTCAGCTGAAATAAAAAAAGGCAGGGGTAGCCATCATCTCAGACAAAGCAAAGCAAAAATAGATCTAATTAAATGAGATGATCAGAGAAACTACAGTTTTATGGAAGGTACCATAGACAATGTAGTAATATAAAAAATATTTACAGCAAGTTTCTCTGATAAAGGTCTCATTTTTCAAATATTTAAGGAACTGAGTAAAATTTATAAAAATAAGAGCCATCCCTCAGTTGATAAATTGTCAAAGGATATGAACAGGCGGTTTTCAGAAGAAGAAATCAAAGCTGTCTATAATTTGAAAAAAATGCTCTAAATCACTATTAATTAGAGAAAGGCAAACTAAAACAACTCTGAGGTAGTATCTCACACCTATCAGAAATGATAAATGCATACCCTTTGATTCAGCAATACCACTGCTAAGTTTGTGTCCCAAAGAGATCAAAGAAAGAGGAAGAGGACCTATATGTACAAAAATATTTATAGCAGCTCTTTTATGTGGTGGCAAAGGATTAAATATCAAGGATTGGTCCTCCAATTGGGGAATGGCTGAACATGTGGTATGATTGTGATGGAGAAATGACAAGGCGGGGGATGATTTCAGAAAAACATGGCAAAACCAATATAAACTAGTGCAAAGTGAAGTGAGCAGAACCAGGAGAAATGGTGCACACTAACAGCAGTGTTGTAAGGATGACCAGCTGTGAAAGACTTGATTCTTCTGATTAGTACAGTGATCCAAGACAATTCCAGAGGGTTTGCGATGAAAAAAAGTGTTGTCTGCCTCTGGAGGGAGAATGGTGAACTCTGCAAATTGAAGTATGACTTCCTTTTTTTCCTTCTTTCGCTTTGTTTTGCGATGTGGCTAATATGGGAGTGTGTTTTCCATGATTTTACATGTGTAATTGATGTGGTGTTTGCCTTCTCAGTGGCTGGGGGACACGTAGGAAGGAGGGAGAGAATCTGCAACTCAAAATTCGAAAAGAAAATGCTAAAAACAAGTTATATATATGTATAGATGTACATAAATATACATCTATACATACACATGTGTGTGTATATACATATATACATATATATGAATGAAAAGGTCATTAAACGTCTTTGATAACTTTAGAGAGAGCAGTTTCTGTTGAATGATGAGGCTGAAAAACAGACTACAGAGGTAAGAGAGTGAAAGAAAAGGAAGTGGAGGCACCTGTTGTAGACAGCCTTCTCAAGGAGTGTAGCCACAAAGCAGAGGAAAGATATGGGACAATAGCTAACCGGGATGGCCAGATCCAGTGTGGCTTTTTTTGAGAATGGGGAGAGACATGGGTGTGTTTGTAGGCAACAAGGGAGCATCTGTCAGACTGGGAGAGATCGATGATCAGTGAGAGAATGGGGATGATAGGGCAGGCAGTCTACTGGAGAAGAAGGAGTGGGATGGAATGGATCACTTGTACATGTATAACTTGTTCAGGAGCAAGGCCACTTTTTCATGTGAGACCGGGGTGAAGGAGGAGAGAGTAAAGAAGGAATCTGAGTGATAGGAGATGAAGAAGAGGGGAGCAGAGGGAGCTCATAGCCAATGGTTTCAATTTTTCCTGTAAAATATGAGGCAGTTTTCCCAGCTGAGAGGGTTAGGGGAAGTGGGAGCCATGGGAAGTTTGAGAAGGGATGAGAAGGTTTGGAAGAGCTGCTGTGGAGAGTGAGTTGCTTAGAGAGGTCAGGTAGGATTGGCGAGCAGCAGAGAGGGCCCAGTGAACAGTTTTGTGATTTTTTCTCCAGCTTTGTTCGGTAGCACAAGTATAGGATTAAAAGCAAAAGAAGGTGAGAGTGATCCAGGGCTGGGGTTTGGCAAGGCAAGATCTTTGGTAGGATAAGGGGGCAGAGGATTAGAGATAAAGGTCCAGTGTAGTGTTAAACTAGTTTGACAGAGGGTCAAGATGGGGAAGGGAGGAGAGGTAGCCATGCAGAGGAAGTGACCTGGGAAAGAACTGTGAAGTCAAAGGGTTTGGAGATGCAAGGCATAGGGAGAGGTGGAAAGACAACAGATTGTGATCAGATAGAGGATTTCAGAATTCATGAACCTGGACGTGGTACAATTGTGGATGATGGCAAGATCGAGCATATGACCATCTTTGCACGTGGTGAGAGGGTCATTTGACACAAATACATTGAGAAACTGGAAGGTTAGGATTTTTGAGGGAGTATTGCTATATATGAAGCCGTCTAGAATGAAGGCAGGAGTCAGGGAGGGAAGATTGTGCCTGAGCCAGGATTCATTAAGGAAAGAAGGGGAGTATCCTGGGGATCTGGAGACAACAGACTCTGGGATTTTGATTGGCTGATTGACATGGGTTGGCCAAATCTCAGTGATGGTGGTAGAGTGGAAGTGGCAGTGGAGACCATGGGGACTCGTGAGTGGAGTTGGGGTTCAGGATGAGAGAGTATAACAAGTGCAGGAAATGCCGGGGATAAAGTGTCGTGAATGGAGTGAATGGAGCCTGGTCTTAGTGAGGGCCAGAATTCAGAGAAGTGAAAGGGTCTAGGATGAAAGCCTTGTTAGCCATGGATCCAGTGGTCCAAAGAGGGCCATGCAAGGTGTGCCCACTATAGTCACAGTGAGGACAGCTGTGGGCAGAGATACAGAATCATGGCCTGGCTACAGCATTTGGGAGGCAACCCGACTCAGTGGGCCTGGCCGGATCGCTAGGGATCCTTCTTCCAGCTCTTAGGACATCCTTTTACAATGGAAAGGGCAAGTTCTTATATCCACCTGAGGTAGGGAGCAGCATTCCCCTTTTGGAGCAGAGGAAGTTGAGCCTCAGAGAGGTTAAGGGACTGGCCCAGGGTCACACAGCAAGTCACACTCCTCTTCAGAGACAGAATTCTAGCGTAGATCTTCAGTGACTCCTGGATGGAACTTGAGAGCCCAGTGAATTCTATGCAAAGTTTTAGCTCTTATTTCCCATATTGGGAGTTTCTGGTGGCACCCACTGATTTAAGAGATTACAAGTGGCCAAAAGGAAAATTGGGTGAGTGCGTTGTGGTGTGCTTCAGATTTCATTACAAACTGGCCCTGCTGATTGACTCCCTCTTTGTGTTTTCAGGTTGGAAACATGGAGTTCCAAGCGGTGGTGATGGCTGTGGGAGGAGGGTCCCGGATGACAGACTTGACTTCCAGTGTTCCCAAGCCCCTGCTTCCTGTCGGCAATAAACCTTTGATCTGGTACCCGCTGAACCTGCTGGAGAGCGTCGGATTTGAAGGTAGGCGCACTGCCTACCACGAAATGCTGTCATCTGGCTCTGTGGGCTTTGGGCCCTGTAATTTGTCAGATTTATGAAGGGCTGGTGAGCAGGAAATGAAGGGGAAGAGTGGAGCTTCACCGGCAGCTGAGTCACAGATAGGGAGGCCAGCCCAGGAGGGGAGGCTCGGGGGCAGAGCTCCCCGAAGATGCCATGGTGGCACCTGGTAAAGGACTTTCAGGAGGGGGCTGTTGGAGGCCTTTGATGGAGGGCTGAAAATGTACTGTTTTCTTCTTTTCTGAGACCAGCCTTAAACTTCTCTTGGCAAAAGTGACTCACCTCTCCGCACCCCCATGGGAGAAGTGTGGAAGGCTTGGACAGCAAATGACAGTGGCCCAAGAAGCTTAGAAGTTAGAAGCAAAGGCAAAGTTTGAGGAGTGAAGTTTCCAACTTTTTGGTGAGGGGGATGAGGGGCACCTAAAAGTGAGGCTTGTCCTGAGGAGCAGAATTTCTCAGGTCACAGAACAAGTGTGCAGAGGCAGCTGGGTAGTGCAGTGGATAGAGCACTGGGCCTGGAGTCAGGACAGGCAAACCTGAGTTCATATCTGGCCTCAGCTAACATCTGTTAGCTCTAAGACCCTGGGCAAGTCACTTCACCTCTCTGCCTTGGTTTCCTCATCTGTAAAATGGGGATAATAACAGCCTCTACTCCGCAGGGTTGTCATGAGGATCAGATGAGATAATTGTAAAGCACTTAGCACACAGTAAGCATTTCCTAAGTATTAGCTGCTATTATTATCATTATGATTACTAGCTGTGTGTGACCCTAGACAAGTCACTTCTGCCTACCTTAGTTTATTCAGCTGTAACAATGGTGATAATAATAGCACCTACCTTGAAGGGTTGTTGTGAAGATGAAATGATAAAAATATTTGTATAGCTCCCTGGTACAGTGGGCTCCTGGTGAGGATCTTGCTCTACGCATAGAGGTGGGCACCTTCTGTGCAATCTAGAATCTTAGAGAGCAGCTCAGGGCACTGAGTGATGTCACTGGCTCAGGGTCACACTGCCAGAAGGTGTCAGAGGCAGAATTTGAACCCAGGGCTTCCTGGCTCTGAGGCCTGCTCTACATCCACAACTGCATGCTGGCATTCCCACTCCTTATAGTAGTGATAGGGAATGGTAGTCCCTTTGTGCTCTGCCCTGGTCAGACTGAGCTCTCATGGATTGGCTGGAGAGTGTCCAGGGTTGATTGACCATCGTGGTAACTGGCTTTGGGATCGTGCCATATGAGGATGGGAGTTGTGTGGGAAAGAAGAGACTCAGGAAAGATATAGTAGTCGTTTTCAGGGATTTGAAGAGTTGTCATGTACAGAGGGATGTGACCTGTGGCCCCCAGAACTCAGGGGCGCTGTGTAGGGTCAGAGAAACTTCAGAGAAGGCCAGCTTCCCAATGCTCTGAGCTGTCCCAAAGTGGAATGGCTGGGTCAGACCGGGAGAGTGTGAGATGGAAATGTAAGTGAAGCACTTGTCAATCCTGTCATTAAGAGAGGGCCCTGCTGGAGGCTGGAGGGAGGGAGTGGGGTCAAGCTTCAAAGGAAAGAGGAGGGAAGAGTGAGCAGAGGCAAGGAGGAGAGAGTGGGTGATGATTCGGAGGCTGAACAAGGCAGGGAGGGTGGGGGCTGCTGTGGCTGGCTCCTCAGGGAAGCAGGCAGCTGGGAGGTCAGTGGCCAGGGCAGTTACCAAGGGGCGTGGAAGGAGGAGGCGAGAGGAGCCAAGCAGAATCTGCCCAAATAGCTGTGCTTTCTTCATGTAGGTTGAACCTCGAAGCTGTCATTTGTAGCTTCTCATTGAAGAGAACTGTGACTCAGCTGGCAATACACCCTTTTAAAATACATTAACTTTATTAACAAAAATTGATTTTTCTCTTCCTCCCATCCCACCCTTCAATACTCGGCGCGGGGGGAGGAATCCCAATAAATAAGCATAAGCAAGCAAAATAGATCCTCACATTGACCATGTGCAAACATGTATGTTGCATGCTGTCCTGAGTTCATCCCCTCTCTGTCAGGAGGTGAGAAGCATGGCAGTGGCCGCTATGATTGTCATCTCTGGGGGAGGATGAGAAAATGGCCTTTTGGAGGTGCAGATGAGCAGGCCCAACCACTCTGCACCTGTGAATAGAGTTCTGACAGATGCCCCCTGTGTCTAATGGAAATGTGGAAATGCTCATGTTTATCGATGTTTGAATTGAGAATTCGTAAAATATCCTGCTTGTTTTATAGGCTGAGAAGTTGGGGTGTCTGTCAAAGTGAGATCCTCACCCTCTACTCGCTGATGCTTGCAGCACGGCTAAAATCTGGGAGAAGTAGCTGATCTGTTGTATAAGAAAGTGGCTGCAGTTTTCTTTTTCCTTTTTTGCGACAGAAGTAATCGTGGTGACGTCCAAAGACGTGCAGAAGTGTTTGCCCTACACGGATTTCAAGATGAAGCTCGATGTGGTGTGTATCACGGATGAGACCGACATGGGGACAGCTGACTCCCTACGACACATTTCTCAGAAAATTAAGGTAGGCCTTTTTTCTTTGACATTCGTTCTCACTCTGCCTGATGAGTCTGGAGTCCTGCTGCTGCTGCTGCTCACAGTGTGAGTGAGAACGGCCTTTTTTTTTTTTTTTTTTTTTTTTGGTGGTGGCTAAAATTCTCGTGGACAAGAAAGCCGAGAAGGCCGCTGAGTAGATCTTAGCTTGCTCAGGAAGTGACTCTGTTAGAGAGTAATTTGTCAGTGTTTTATGTGGAGGGGAAGAAGGGGCCAGTGGGAAAGCTGACTGGTTTTGGTTATTTCGTAAGTTCATCATTGGATTTAGGTCAGCCAGTAGAGTAGAATTCTGAAAAAACTGTGAGCAGTACCTAGTATATTTGTGGCTTCCCATCAGTCCTCTTTTTCTGTTCCCTCTTGCTGAGTCTTCTCCTTCTCAGGTAACCATTCCTATCTTTTGTTTCAAGTTCAGTCTCAGACACAGGTGCTGGGACTTCCTGTTTGCCAAATTAGCTGGAGGGATGAGTCTGTGTTGTAAAGGAATGTCCTCCCTTATCTTTCTGGTGTGTTTCCATGACTTCTGACTGAAAATCAGGGGTGGCCATGGACGTTATTTGCTTGAAGACGATGGTGGATACAGCTTGCTCAGTCTAGCCCATGTAAATGCTGATGGTCCTTAGACCATCTCCCAGACAAACCTCAAGTCTAGGGGCACTGCCCAGGAACCGAGAGGGACTCTGATGGGGTTGTCTGGAATCCCCACCAGTGTGCTTCCCTTCAAGACGATCAGTTGAAAATCAGTTAAGTCAGCCAGCCTTAAGTAGCTTTTAGAAAAGGTATTTGCTAAGGTGGTACGGTACAAAGTTGGTATGAAACATCCCCCTAGAAGGCTGTGCTCCACTCGTCTACAAGCACATGCTTAGTCCAGGGGAAAGTGGGCTTAAGCTTAGAGACCGCGTATGGCAAAGAGGCAACACACAGTTCATGGCTGCTGGAAGTTCTTTTCTCCCATTTGTGGGTACTCTTTTAAGCATTGGGAGTCAAGACCCAGTGTATTGGCTCCTGATGCAGAATCTAATCAGCTGCTGCTGCCACTCAGGAGAGGTGATGCTGGGATGCTAAGGAGAGAATGGGCATTCCAACATCCTTGGGACCTTTTGAAGTTTGCAGGGTCCTCTTAGTCTAGCCTGTGTGTGTGTGTGTGTGTGTGTGTGTGTGTGTGTGTATTAGAATTCACATTCTCTCTCTCTTTTCCTCTCTGCACCCCGCTTGCTCCCTCTCTCTCTCTCTCTCTTTTATTGGCTAGGTAATGGGGTTTAAATGACTTGCTCGGGGTTACACAGCTAGTGAGTATTATGTGTCTGAGGCCAGATGTGAACTCGGGTGTTCCTGAATCCAGGGCCGGTGCTCTATCCACTGCGCTACCTAGCCCCCTCCCTTGCTCCCTCTCTTCCTCTCTCCATTCCCCCTTCCCATTGTCTCTGTTTCTGTGTCTCTCTTTCTCTCCTTCCCTCTCTATCCTTCCCTATCTTTTCCTCCCTCTTTTTCTCTCCTCTATCCCAATCTCTTTCTCTCTCCCTCCTTCTCTTTCCTTCCCATTCTCCTCTCTCTCCCTCCCTCTGATTAGAACTCAACAATTCTATCTCTTTTGATAAAATCTATTTTTGCTTTTGCTTTGTTTGAGATCAGGATTGCTGCCCCTGCTTTTTTTACTTCAGCTGAAGCATAATATATTCTGCTCCAGCCTTTTACCTTTACCATGTGTGTGTCCCTCTGTTTCAAATGTGTTTCCTGTAAACAACGTATTGTAGGATTATGGTTTTTAATCCATTCTGCTATCCTCTTCCGTTTTATGGGAGAGTTCATCCCATTCATATTCACAGTTCTGATTACTGGCTGTCTTTCTCTCCATCCTTTTCCCCCCTGTTTATGCTTTTCCTTCTCCTTTCTCCTTTTCCCTCCTTACTAGTGTTTTGCTTTTGACCATCACCTCCCTCAGTCCTGCCTCCCTTCTATTAGCCCCCTCCCTTTCCTTCCTCTTTACCCTTATTAATTCTTTCCTCCCTTCTACCCCCTTCCCTTTTCTTTCCCCTTTTCCCTCCTACTGCCTATAGGGCATGTTAGATTTCTATACCTAACTGATTATGTTATTGCCTTCTTGAGCCAAATCTGATGAGAGTAAGGTTCAAACAATGCTTGTCTTCCTCCCTTCTTTCCCTCTGCTGTAATAGGTTTTTGTGCCTTTTCCTGTAATGTAATTTACCCTTGTCTGCCTCCTCCTTTCCTTTTCTCTCAGTACATTTTCTTAGATCAGATTAATCCACTTACTTGGATGCATTTAACCCACTTGATTAGATTTTTTTTTTTATCATTACATCAAAGTCAACTTATACCCATCCCTTTATGTATACCCCTTTAACATGGTGTAATAACAATACAGTTCTCAAGTGTCATCTTCCCTTGTAGGGATGTAAACAGTTTGCCCTTATTAATAACATGTTGGTTCTTTCTGTCCCTTTTACTGTTTTATGTCTCTCTTGAGTCTTGTATTTGAAGATCAAATTTTCTGTTGAGCTCTGGTCTTTTTATTAGGAAGGTTTGGAAGTCCCCTATTTCGTTGAATATCCATCTCCTCCCCTGAAAGATCATGCTGATTTTCGATGGGTAGTTGATCCTTGGTTGTAATCCAAGCTCCTTTGCCTTATGGAATATCATATTCCACGCCCTGTGGTCTTTCAACATAGAAGCTGCAAGGTCTTGTGTAATCCTGACTGTGGTTCCATGATATCTCGATTGTTTCTTTCTGGCTGCTTGCGGTATTTTCTCTTTGACCTGGTAATTTTGGAATTTGGCTACTATATTCCTTGGCGTTTTCAATTGGGGATCTCTCTCAGGAGGTGATCAGTGGATTCTTTCTGTGGCTATTTTACCCTCTGGTTCTAGGATCTCAGGGTAGTTTTCCTTTATGATTTCCTGAAAGATACTGTCTAGGTTCTTTTTTTCATCATGATTTTCAGGTAGACCAATAATTTTTAAATTGTCTCTCCTGGATCAATTTTCCAGGTCAGTTGTTTTACCAATGAGGTATTTTACGTTTTCATCTATTTTTTTCATTCTTTTGTTTCTGTTTGACTGATTCTTGCTCTCTTATAGAGTCATTAGCTTCCATTTGCCCAATTCTAATTTTTAACAGATTGTTTTCTTCTATTAGATTTTGTACCTCCTTCCCCATTTGACCAATTGTATTTTTTAGGGACTTGTTTTCTTCAGTGTACTTTTTTCCAGTTGACCAATTGTATTTTTTAAGGACTTGTTTTCTACAGTTAATTTTTGTCCTTCCTTTTCCAAGCTATTGACTCTCACTTGTGTACCTCTCATTTCTTTTCCCATTTTTTCTTTTACCTGTCTCATTTGACTTTTAAAATCCTTCTTGAGCTCTTCTAAGAAGGCTTTTTGGGCTTTAGACCTGTTCATATTCCCTTTTGAGGTTCCAGATGTGGGTTTGTTGACAATGTTGTCCTCTTCAGAATTTCTGCCTTGATCTTCTCCGTTCCCATAGTAAGAATCTGTTGTACGTTTCTTTTTGCTCATGGTGTTTGCTTATTTCCTGGCCTTTAAAGGGATTGAGCTCTCCTGCTGGGGAGCAGAGGGCACTGACCCAAGCTTCTTGTGTTGGGAGCCTAGGTCTTGGTCACTGGCTTTGTGTGCTGGGGTCTCTGATGTTGGCAGTTGTAGGCTGTGGGGTTCTGGCAGCTTACCTGGTGTTGGGCTGGAAATCAGCAACACTGGAACTCTTGGGGTAGGATTGGGTAGTGTGGCCCCTGGAGATTTCCTGCTCACCCGGGCCTTTCCTTCTTTTCGCTTTCTTCACCTTCTTTCAGATGGATGTTGCAGGATGTTTATTTGCCTGGAGCTCCTTGGAGAGTTGCTTCCCTTAGTTTTGCTGAGGCACTGGGAGATTCAGTTGCTGTAGAATGCTGAGGCACCTGGTGGTTTTCCAAGCTGGTTTCCATCAGTTCCCCCACCCTCACGGAGGCACTCAGGGGTCCTGGCATTGGTGTTTGCCTGCTCCACCACCTGGGTTTCAGGATCTCCTCCTGGTATGCTGAGGTGGGGCTTTCCGCTAGCTTACTGCTCCCCTTCCCCCAGGGCAAGAGGGGGCTTTCCCATTAATTCCTCAAGATACCTGGGCTACTGGACTGCTGTACCCCATCTTTCTTCTGGTTCAGCTGTTCCAAGGCTTTTCCTGGGGTGATATTTTCTGGGCTTTCAGAGGTTAATAAGGGAGGGTTAGAGCGACTTACTTCTTACTCTACCATCTGGGCTCCTGGAAGCCTAGAACTCAACAATTCTAGCTAGCTTGAAACTATTCTCTCCAAAGTGATCTCTTAATTGCCAAATGGAATGGCTTCAGTTCTCATCCTTGACCACTCTGAAGCCTTTGATGATTTTGACCACCCTTTTTTTGTAGATACTCTCTCCTCTCTTGGTTTTTGTGACACTTTGTGACCCTGCTCTCTCCTGGTTCTCCTGCTGTTAGAATTATTCTTTCTCAGTCTGCTTTGCCAGCTCTTCATCCAGGCCATGCCCACTAACCATGGGTGTCCCCAGGGCTTTGTGCTGGGCCCTGTTCCCTTCTCCCTCTCTACCAGGTATTCTTAACCTTTGTGTCCTGGACCCCTTTTCCAGACTTGTCGACCTATGGACCCCCTTCTCTGAGTAATGTTTTTGGTCATATTTTTTTTCTTTTTCTTTTTTTTCTTTATATGAAGCAATTGGGGTTAAATAACTTGGCCAGGGTCACACAGCTAGTAAGTGTCAAGTGTTTGGTCTGAGGCTGGATTTGAACTCGGGTCCTCCTGACTCCAGGCCTGGTGCTCTATCCACTGTGCCACCTAGCTGCCCCTGCTGAGTAATGTTTTTAAATGCACAAAATAAAATATATAGGATTGCAAAGGAATCCAATTATATGGAAATATAATTATCAAAATATTTTTAAAAACAAGCTTAGGGACCCCAAACTGAAAATGC